CCTTGTATTGTTCACAGTCTCAGTAATCGGTTGTCGCTGTCCAGCTTACTGCTTAGAGTAAAATCTTTGTTTTTTCCTTTTTAACCTATCTACTCTCTTCCACAACATTTCAGAGAACTCGTGTCTTGCACTTCGTCTACACCTCATACCTAGGTGTTACCCTTATTGCTTTCCTATAACAACAGCCTTTCAACACACACAGCTAACCCGGAAAGTCAGTCGAGCACGGTAACTTCCGTACGACAACACGCACGTGAACACTTAGACAGCAGGCACCATATCCTCATCTTCATCTTCGTACACATTAGGTTCCACTTCCCACTTATTCTGGTACGACACACCGATGAATTAATTTTATCTAGTGTACCTACACAGCTGTGCTAGTAATCTAGTATAAACATTTTTTTGTTAATAATATATTTTAATATAAGTACCTACTTAAGTCAATTGATAAATATTCTTTTTTATTATTTTTTTAATTATTTTAAAGGATATTAGTTATTTATGCACACCTATAAAGAATACTTTTAAACATTATTTAAAGCAGTTAATAAAAAATTATTTTAAAAAGTATTAAAAGATTATTTTTATTTTTAGTATTAATTTTTAAATAATTTATTGAAATATATTTATAATCATTTAATATAAATTTTAATAATATATATGTTTATACTTATTTTTCATAAAATTATTATCTAGAAAATTTAACATTTTGATATTGAATAAAATTACAACACACAAGAAGGATATAAAATAAAATAATTTAAGATACATCCATAGGGTATATGATACAAAATAGAAGTGTTTAAATACTACTTAAATACAAGGAACAAATGTCAAATATTGCTAAGCCTACACATAAAAAGCCTTGTTAAAAAATGTGAAACCTAATAAGTAATAAATAAAAATAACAAAATATAGGAACTAAATTAAATATGAAATTTTATATAAGAACTAGTCATTTTTTATAGTAAAATGATAGTACCCCCAATTCAGAGATATTGTTGTTAAAATAAAATAAAATGTTTGAGTGTTCCTTTAACTAAAATTGAAAAGGATAACATTACATATGTCAGAAGTAGACAACAGAATATGGACGATTATTAAAAGATGTTGAGAGTAATTATATTTTGATATTTCTATATAAGAATATTATACAAACATAACATATCACTAAAATTAATGTTAGTAAAACTTAACTATACTAGAAATATATAAATAGGTACATTAATAGATTATTTAATAGTAATGTAAAATAATACAATAAAAACGATCTGGTTTGCGGCAAAATTATATGTCTTGCGAATAACAGGAACAAAATGACAGGAAAACAACGATTAATCTTAACCAAAAGTTAGTGTGTTTTGAGTATCACTTTATATGTAAAGAAATGGTTTGCGAAATTATGAGTGTATATATACCCTTTTGCGGTAGTTCAAAAAGAACACAAAATAAAAAAAAACGAAACGATAACATACCGTTCAGTTTGGTATCAACGATACTTGAGCGAGCGTTTAATTGTGAATGAGTAATTATGACTCGTTTTAACGAGTCGCGTGGAACTCGTTCAATTATTTTTACCAGCGGTCAATTACATTGATAGGGCGATCACAACAAAGACACCATATGATTGTATACGCAACAACGATAAAATATGATTATTTTTTCTCTTCAATAACACGAACCATATTATACAAAGATAACCGATAAATCACCCACTCAAATCAAAATTTCTGTTATAACTGAGGGGGTGAGAATCTATCCTGGGAGGGTGCAACTGCCTACCCTCGCATACTTTAGAGCCGTCCCTGCGCCAATATACAAACAAATTTACATGATACAAATTTAGCGACCATTCACGAGAAACAAATATATATATATAAAAAAACCAGAACAGGTGTATCGCGGCACAGTGTTGACGTGGCATAGTTATCAAGTAGAATAATATCTGACAGTGATTAAAATCACTATAAAAAAAAAACGCTTAGATGCAAATCTTTAAATAGTATTTAATTTTAAAATATTGGTGGAATATTCCAAAAGCTACATTATCTTATATTTCCTTATTAATATCCTGATTAAGATAGAGTATGTCAAATAAAAAAGGGATTATTAAAAAAAATTATTTCTCATAAAAAAATTGTGTTGATCGATACACTTTTCAATAAGTTATAGCATTATAAAGTTAAAAATGTAAAATATAAAATAGAGAATTTTCACACAAAAAAAGCTTCGGTAGCCATTTTTATCATTAAGTCAAGTTCAGAGGTCATATTTTTCCTTATTAAAGTATATTACATTAGCTTTAATTTAAGATATATATAAAAGTGTCAGACTTTCTGAAACACTTTCTAAAGTTAAGTGTAAAAGTAAATTTTTTGTGAAAAATTTGTCATTTTAAATCTCCTCCTGTGGGCATATAAAGAGTCAGATTTATAAAAATAATATACCAAATGATAGATAAAAAAAAACCAGCACAGGGGGTCGCGGCACAGTGGTGACGTGGTATAGATGGATCAAGGATAATGATATCTGACAGTGATTAAAATCAATATAAAAAAAAACGCTTCGATGCAAATCTTTAGATAGTGTTTAATTTTAAAAAATTGGTGGATTATTCCAAAAGCTTCATAAACTGCTAGTTCCTAATTAATATCCTCATTAAGATAAATTATGTCGAATGAAAAAAGGATTATTAAAAAATAGTATTTCCCATAAAAAAATTATATTGATCAATTCACTTTTCAATAAGTTATAGTATTATAAAATTAAAAATATAAAAAATAATTTTTTTACAAAAATTGTATTTTTTTTATTAAGTTTAATGTCTGTTTTCACCATAAAGATAAAATAAAGTCCGAAATTTTTTTTTACCTTTATAAAGTATATTACATTAGCTTTAATTTAAGAGTGAGAGCTGAGAAAAAGTGGTAACAGACACAAAAAAAAAGTTACGTTGAAAAAGTTCTACTTTCTATATGCATTTTTA